TCAAAGCTTTCTAGGCAGTTCAGCTATGAACGTTAGTGTTATTTAACTTAATTCTCAGCTTGTGAACCTCTTCCCCCCAAAAGGGAAGACAAATAAAAATAAAATTCTCACTCAGGACAGCAGAAAAACCAGAGAACGCAGCTTCTCCACCTATTTCTTCCTTACTATTCTCTCCTAGGCCCTGTCTGCTTTTTGTCTTGTAGTGAGTCTCGTTCTCCCTTCCACCTCCAGTACCGTCCACCCCAGCCTCTCACTATCCCCTAGCAAAAATTCAGATAAATGAACCCAGACCTTCATGAGCTAAGGTTAAGATTTCTTCTCTCTCTGACGACTTTCTTGTAAGAGGAAATGCTTCTTTTTTTTTTAACGAATATAAATTTCCAAAGTACAGCTTATGGATTACAATGGCTTCCCCCCACCATAACTTCCCTCCCACTCGCACCCCTCCCATCTCCCGCTCCCTCTCCCATCCCATTCACATCAAGATTCATTTTCAATTCTCTTTATATACAGAAGATCGATTTAGTATATATTAAGTAAAGATTTCATCAGTTTGCACCCACACAGAAACACAAAGTGTAAAATACTGTTTGAGTACTAGTTATAGCATTAAATCACAATGGACAACACATTAAGGACAGGGATCCCAAATGAGGAATAAGTGCACAGTGACTCCTGTTGTTGACTTAACAATTTGATACTCTTGATTATGGCATCAGTAATCACCCTAGGCTCTTGAGTTGCCAAGGCTATGGAAGCCTTTTGAGTTCGCCGACTTCGATCTTATTCAGACAAGGTCATAGTCAAAGTGGAAGTTCTCTCCTCCCTTCAGAGAAAGGTACCTCCTTCTTTGATGGCCCCGTTTTTTCCACTGGGATCTCACTCACAGAGATCTTTCATTTAGGTTTTTTTTTTTTTTTTTTTTGCCAGAGTGTGTTGGCTTTCCATGCCTGAAATACTCTCATGGGCTTTTCAGCCAGATCCAAATGCCTTAAGGGCTGATTCTGAGGCCAGAGTGCTGTTTAGGACATCTGCCATTCTATGGGTCTGCTGTGTATCCCACTTCTCATGTTGGATCATTCTCTCCCTTTTTGATTCTATCAGTTAGTATTAGCAGACACTAGTCTTGTTTGTGTGATCCCTTTGACTCTTAGTCCTATCATTACGATCAATTGTGAACTGAAATTGATCATTTGGACTAGTGAGATGGCATTGGTACATGCCACCTTGATGGGATTGTATTGGAATCTCCTGGCACGTTTCTAACTCCACCATTTGGGGTAAGCCCAGTTGAGCATGTCCCAAATTGTACATCTCCTCCCTCTCTTATTCCCACCCTTATATTTAACAGGGATCACTTTTCAGTTAAATTTCAACACTTAAGAGTAATTGTGTATTAATTACAGAGTTCAACCAATAGTATTAAGTAGAACTTCTTGATATAAAGGAATGAATCCCTAATGGAAAAATTTTAGATGTTTTTGGCAAGTAGAAAGACAAGCTATTTGGGGCAGAGGAATGTTTCCTGATGTTTTTCAAATTATGCCAAATTTATTGATTCTTTGATTTGTATTCTGCTTCTTTCAAAATGAATTTTTTAAAAATAAAATTACAGGGGCTGGCGCTGTGGCGTAGCGGATAAAGCCACCGCCTGCAGTGCCAGCATCCCATCCAGGCGCCAGTTCAAGTCCACTTCTCTAAGCTCTCTTCTATGGCCTGCGAAAGCAGAAGATGGCCCAAGTCCTTGGGCCCGTGCACCCATGTGGGAGACCAGGAAGAGGCTCCTAGCTCCTGGCTTCGGATTGGCCCAGCTCCAGTCATTGTGGCCATTTGGAGAGTGAAACAGTAGATGGAAGACCTTTCTCTCTCTCTCTGCCTCTTTCTCTCTGTGTGTACCTCTGACTTTCAAACAAATAAATAAATCTTTAAAAAAAAAAAAGGAGAAAAATCTGTAAAAATAAATAAATAAATCGCTGAGATCATAATACAAGGGGACTTCAAGACTCCATGAGAATATGGAATTTCTAGAAAATAAATAAGTAAAAATAAAATTAAAAAATATAATGTTGCTCCCCGTCTTCGTGGAGGAACGACACTGGACCCTGCACTGTTCTTTTGTCTGCTCGGCCCTCCCCGGGTTTGCTGCTGGTTCTTCCCGGGTTGGCTACCATCCCTTCCACCTCCGTGGAAGGGCGGTTCCCCCTGCCACCTTCCCCACTTCCACGGGGGAGAGGCACATTGCCGGTCGGCTCTCTCGGGGGCTGCTCAGATGTTCCTTCAGATAGACGTTCCCCTTAGATGTTCCTGGTGCATGTTGTCTCTCTCCTCCTTTATAGTCCTCTTCCACCAATCCCAACTCTGCTACCCACACGCCGAGCATGCTGCTCTCCTCCAATCAGGAGCAGCTCCTGCAGCTTGTTGGTTGAACTGGAGGCAGCTGTGTAGAAGCTGTTTCCTCCTCTCCCAGAGCCATATTGTGGGAGAGCAGATGCACAGAATAAGTCTTAATTCCAGTAACTTAGTCTAGTCCGAGTTGCTCCCCACATATAACACAAAATTAACATGATAAAATTAGGGAGGGTAATGACAGAGGATAACATAAGCCAAAGATAATGTCAGCACACAAAATATTCATGCCATTAACAAGTTGCATGATGAGTATACCTAGCCCTTAAATTCACCTCCAAGAACCCTAAAGGAAAAAGCAAAGGGGAAAATAAGGTACAAATTCATAGAGTTCCTTAGGCTGACAGCAGTTCAGAAGAATGAAACCCAGGCATGACCAACTAGCCTCTGTGCGGGTTAGTATGTGTAGAATCCATGGTAATGAGATTCTTTTTTTAAAGAATAAACTTGATTTATTTCAAAGAAAATGAGCATTCTCATCTGCTCCATCTCCTCAAATGTCTACAACTGCTGGGGCTGGGCTGAGGCCAGAGCAAGGAGCCAGGAACACAACCCAGGTCTTCCAGGCAGGCAACAGTGACTTAAACCACTTGAGCCATGGCTGCTGCCTCCCAAGAGGGATCAGGCTGCAGAGCTGCAATTAAACCCAGGTACTCCAATGTAGACTGCAGGTGTCCTAACCAGTGTCCTAATCAGTAGGACAAATGCCCACCCCAAGAGTGAAATTCTGAAACCCATACAAAGAGTTACAGGAGGTGCTGTGGCACAGGAAATAAGCTGCCACCTGCAACAGGCACCCATACTGAAGCACTGGCGCATCCCAACTGCTTTGCTTCCAATCCAGCTCCCTGCCAATATGCCTGGGAACGTAGAGCAAGGTGGCCCAAATGCTTGAGCCCTGCCACCCATGTCCAGGATGGAGCTCTGGACTCCTGACTTCAGCCTGGCCCAGCACCAGCTGTTGTAGCCATTTAGGGAGTGAACCAGTGGAAGCAATCAAAAAATATCTCTCTCTCTCTCTCTCTCTCTCTCTCTCACACACACACACACACACACTTTCAAATCAAAAAATCTTTTTAAAAAAGAGTTACAAGAGACTATCCTCAGCAGCTATGCACCACGGCCTCAAACTGGAAACAGCCTAATGTCCACTAGACAAATAAACTGTGGTCCATGCACTCCACAGAACGCTGTTCAGCAATAACACGGAGCAAAACACTGAGGAACCTGACCATGTGGGTAAATTCCAAAATCATTATGCTGCATGAAAGACAAGAACAAAGGCATCCACGCTGCATGCTTCCATTTACATAAAATTCTCAAAAATGCAAACAAATCCGTAGTAACAGAAAACAGATTAGTGCTGCCTCAGGATGGACACAAAGGGCTCTGAAGACACTCTCAAGGGTGATAGAAATGTTGACTGTGGCTAAATGAGACATTTTGAACGTTTTGTTAAATTTAAAAGAAGTTTTTATCAATTTTATGTATATTAACCCCAAACTAGAAGCAATGCAAATTTCCATCAGTAGGTAAATGAATAAATAAGTTGCAACAAATGCGATGGATGGACTACTATTCAACCATAAACAGGATAAACTAAAGCTACACACAAAACTGGGAATGAATCTCAACATGATAGTGTTGAATAAAATACTAGAAAATGAAAATTAATCCATAGTGACAGAAAGCATAGCAATGGTTACCTGGGACTACGAGGTGGGGCGGGATAAATAGAGGAATTCTCAAGGGCACAGGAAAACTTTGGGTGTTTGTGGGTGTGCTCATTAGCATGACTGGGGTAATGGGTTCACAGGTTATAGAAATTCACCCGCACTCATCAGATTGTACTCTTTAAAATATGACATGTATTGTATACTCTTTCTCAACAAGGCTATATAAAACTAAATAGATTTCTGTGCCTAAGGCTATTGCTACACATACCTCCCTCTATGACAGACATCTTTTCTGTGTCTGTCTCCCCCACTGACCACAAGCTCCAGCAAGGAAGGAACCATGTCGCTTGAGATGTGTACTTGCCAGGGCGACCCGTCTCTGGGACAGAGCTCGGTGAACTGTGGATCGCAACGTCAGAGAGCAACCTTACCAATTTCGGTGTTTATTTGCCGGGTGCTATTCTAGTTACTTCTCATGGGTTAACTCTTCAATGCTCACAATGGTTCTCTAAATTGAATTCTGCCCGTAACCTCCTTTGCAGGAGAGGAAATCCAGACACCTGTCTCCAGAGCCTTCACTTTCTTTAATAAACTCCACATTGCCATTTTTTACATGCTCAGAATAAATGAGAATCTTAGTTCCAGAATTAGGAACTAAGACAATAAACCCAAAAGACCAAATGAACAAGACTGGAGGTGGGGTTTCAAAATTCAGTGCTAACCCATCATTGCCAGCTCAGAGTTACTCCAAGATAAAATAACAAAACGAGTAGACTCATCATATTCACTGAATGATATCATAATCATAGTGCAGGCTACATCCATTTGGATTTTAAGGATTCCATTATGAGAGAAGGTTAATGTGAAATCTAGTCCTAATTTTAACCATTTGATTATGAGAACAAATTCAGATCTTACCTGCCAACAGCTAGTGTGGTAGAACAGGAGCCACCTCCGTCAGCCTCATGTTCGGACGGCTGCCACCCATCACCTGGGGTTATTATGAGACAATAGTCACACTCTGTTCACTTTTCAGTCATGAGAATCTCATCAAATGGGTGCCTTGTGTTCGTTGATTTCCTTGGTTCTGTTTTTTATTGCTTAATTTTAAAGATACTGTGCATCATTTTTGTCTCAGTCCATTTGGGCTGCTATAAAAAACACCATAGCTTCAGTGGCTTCCAAACAGCAGAAATTTATTCCTCAAGCTTCCGGAGGCTGGGAAGTCCCAGATCCGGGCCCCTGCAAGTTCCGGGTCTGGTGAGGCCTGTCTCCGGGCCTGTCTCCTTAGTCACGGATGATACTTCCCTTGATGTGCTCTGACCTGGTAGAAGACACAGAATAGCTTCCTGGGACTCCTTTTATCAAAGCACTAAGAGTCCCCTTCAGAAAAGCTCTACCACCATCATCTAATCATCCCCAAACACACACACCTCCCTCCTAACAGCAATCACATTGGTGATTAGGATTTTAACACATGAATTTGGGTGTGTGTGCAAACTTTCAGACTGGTGCAATATATATGCACTGCTTGTGCAAGGCATCCCACAAACTCTACATGCTACGTATTACTTCCTCCATGGGTCACCCACAGGATCTGGATGAGCAAGGCTGGAAGACATGCTCACAGAGTGGACTCATCACAGGAAGATCACTGCGTGCGGTGCTGGAACTACCAATGTTAACCGATCACACAGTCACGTCCGCGTATAGAATTCAGCAGTGTGTTGGTATCAGAGGGTAATGATTTGGGGGCCAAGAATGCTTTCAAAGTTTTTCCATTGGAACTAAAGGTAATTATGTAACTGACTTGGAAATTTTACTTTTAGAGGAGTTTTTAATGGAAAAAAACTTGAAAAGTGAATTGGGCAAGGCTATAAATAAAACTTAAGGTGACGGTCTTTTGTGTTTTAAATCCACAATATCCTACTTGGACAGTGGGCGCTGTTTCCCAAACTAAGTTCTAAGGAAGAAAAACAGATCCTCTGTTTGTATGGAAAACACTGGTTGAAACTAGACTAAGTGAATTGCTTTTATAAGATTTGTCATAAGAAGAGGACATGGTAGAGACCATTTCCCAAAAATATTTAACTTTCACTAATGTTTCCTGGTATAAAATGTTAAATTTACTGGTTTAATAATGAAAGACATTTGAGGATAAAATCAGCATGTGGTAGAGAAAACAATGCAGTCTTTCAAAACGGAAAACCTGGGTTCAAATGCTGACTCACAAGTCTGTTAGTGTCCTCCTGTGTGAAATGAAAACATAAAAATAAGGATCTGTGTTCCATTGGTGTCAAAACAGGAAGGCAAAAGGCCATGCCAGTGAGAGTTCATCTGGTTAGGCAAGCATTCAGAGTTCCCCAGGTCTCCCAGTCTTTGCCTCAAACAACTCCATTCAGAATCAGCTAATGTTTCAATAAAATTTGCAATCTATTTTGGATTTCTAAGTCCTTGGACTAATTTAAAAGATATTGACCATAACTTAAATAAACAGCAAGTTAGGAAATGTTCTCACCTTGGAATATTTTTGCTCAAGTGGAATTAACTTGTATAAAAGCCCCAGAAATCTAAGGCAGATTTGGCTAGTGGGAAAATCATGAATCAGATCAAGTTGCTCTCTGCTTCTCATCTCCCCATAAGCCAACCTTCCCCTTAACTTCTATTCTCTTGGGAATCTGCCCTTTCCTTAAGGAGTTTTAGTCTCTCGTCTGATGCATATCATTAGAGTGTTCATGACAAATACAAGCATATTTGGTTTTTAAATTGTTTAAGGGGAGATAAGCAAATTAAACCATTATCAATAAAAGTTATGAAAATGAACTATCAAATACAATGAAAAACTTTTAGCTATAATCCACATTATATAGAAGCTGTACTCACTCGCAATGGAGTTTGCATGGTTAAATACATCCACTCCCAGTCTTAAAAATACTTAATTACATGAAAAGAAATGGGGAAACAGAAGCCATTTACCACTGAAATTCTTGGCCATCAAAGTACACACATGCCTGGAAAGCTAAAAGTATTGCTTTTTCCCCAAGGTCAATAAATAACCCAAATGGACTCAAAACACAGATAGAGCTCCCTCATGTTGAGTAACAGCAGAAAAGAATAACATGTATCATCAGCATCAGAAGAAAGAGTAAAAAAGTCACCGCGTTCCCCCTTTACCAAGGACCATTATTTTTTATACATACTGCTAACTCAGTAAGTTGAAACAGCTTAGATTCTGCACAACAAAGTGTGATGCTATGTGACTGTAGGATTCTCCAGTTGTTTCACCTACACTAATAGATAAACTGCCCTGAATAGATGAGAATTCTCTGAAGTTACTAAGCAAGCATTTGCTTTTGATAATATGTATAATAACAGGCATGCAATAGAGCATCAGTACCCGCCCACTGATGGCTTGATCTTGTCCTCTTGGTAGATGACCCTCTAACTAACTATGCAGACCAGGACAATTTTGAGAGTAAAAGGAAACAAGAAATATTTTTTGTTGTTTGATGGATATTGCTATTTGTGGACCTATAAAATAGTTTCATTTTTGAAAAAATAAATTATTTCCATTAAAGGAAAAACATGTGCATAATAATATTTTAAAAATCTCTTCTGTATAATATTCTGAATGCTTAAAAATAACAAGGTTTTTCATGTACTTTTATCACTTCCATCAACATATGTGAGCCAAACAGTTTATTGATAATTTTTGATGCATAGTTTTTTTGTTTTTTTGGTTTTTTTTTTTTTTTTTTTTGACAGGCAGAGTGGACAGTGAGAGAGAGAGACAGAGAGAAAGGTCTTCCTTTGCCGTTGGTTCACCCTCCAATGGCCACCGCGGCCGGTGCGCTGCGGCCGGCGCACCGCGCTGATCCGATGGCAGGAGCCAGGAGCCAGGTGCTTTTCCTGGTCTCCCATGGGGTGCAGGGCCCAAGCACCTGGGCCATCTTCCACTGCACTCCCTGGCCACAGCAGAGAGCTGGCCTGGAAGAGGGGCAACCGGGACAGAATCCAGCGCCCCGACCGGGACTAGAACCCGGTGTGCCGGCGCCACTAGGCAGAGGATTAGCCTAGTGAGCCACAGCGCTGGCCGATGCATAGTTTTTATACAGCCTTTTAATTTATATTTCTCTAAAGTTCCCTGTGATTTGTTCAAAGTTTAACTTTATGATTAATAAATTTGAAATCATTTATACTTCAATTGACTTTATTCTGTAGATGCAGAAGTACATTGTAAGCCCAAAGGAAATTCTACTAAATATAAGACATTTTCATTTTCTCATATGGAAATGTGGAAATATTTAAGCTTTACTATTCTCATAAGTACTGTCACCCCTTTCTAAGTACACTTCTTCAAACACAATTTTTTTAAAGATTTATTTATTTTAAAGGCAGAGTTACAGAGAGATAGAGACAGAGAGAGAGAGGTCTTCCATCCACCCACTGGTTCGCTCCTCAAATGGCTGCAATGGGTGGAGCTGGGCCGATCTGAAGCCAGGAGCCAGGAGCTTCTTCTGGGTCTCTCATGAAGGTGCAGGGGCCCAAGGACTTGGACTATCTTCTACTGCTTTCCCAGGCCATAGCAGAGAGCTGGATTGGAAGTGGAACAACTGGGTCTTGAACCAGAATCCATATGAAATGCAGGCACTGCAGGCGGTGGCTTTACCTGCTATGCCACAGTGTTGGCCCCTCTTCAAAATTTTTAAAATAAAACTGGTCAAATAAATTGTCACTATTTACTGATTCTTTTAAATAAATATTTTGCCAAGTATAGTTACTGCATAATCTGAAATCTTTCTATTGTATTTTGTTCTCATAAAGAGTAAATCCATTCAATTACAAATAGATGCTACATCTTAAGTAAATTGCCATAAATTAAAAAATTCCAAAGAACAATTATAGATTTTTAAAACTGGTAATTACTCTTTTAAGTTGTTATGTTCCTCTTTTTTTTTTTAACAGAGATACATTTTAATACTTTTCATTTGGAAAGCTCTCTTCTTAATAACTTGAATCAACTGAAATATTCAAAACTCAAGTTTTCTGATGCTGTATTCATAGAGTAGTTTGATTAAAGACTTCCAACTAATTATATGTGCTTATACATTGAGGATTATAATGCCTTTCTAATGAACTGAACTTTTTATCATTATGAAATATCTTTCCAAATCTCTGATAATATACATTGTCTTTCCGCACATTTTAATCTGATATTTAATCAATTTTAATGATTTTACTCTTTATATGTTGCATATTTTTATATCCTTTTATTTTCAAATGATCTATGTTTTCATATGTAAAATAAATTTCATATAGATAATATATAAGAAGACTTCAAAAAGCCCATGGAAAATGGAATTAACATACTACTTTTTGTTGGAAAAAGAATTTGAAATCCATGCAGTTTTTTCATAATAAATATTTTCCATGAACTTTTGAAGACCCCTCTTATAGTTGGATCTTGCTCTTTACCTAGTCTGACAAGTTCACCTAATAATTACAGTATTTAGTCTGTTACATATAATGTAATTATAGATATAAGTCTACCATATTGCTATTGTTTCTCTTTGTCCTATACCCTTCTCAATATTTTCTTGCTTTACATTAGGTTATTTTTATTTTTTTTAACTTTTATTTAGTAAATATAAATTTCCAAAGTACAGCTTATGGATTACAATGGCTTCCCCCCGCCCATAACTTGCACCCCTCCCATCTCCCACTCCCTCTCCCGTTCCATTCACATCAAGCTTTATTTTCAATTATCTTTACATACAGAAGATCGATTTAGTATATATTAAGTAAAGATTTCAACAGTTTTCACCCACACAGAAACACAAAGTGTAAAATACTGTTTCAGTACTAGTTATAGCATTAATTCACATTGGACAACACATTAAGGACAGAGATCCCACATGAGGAGTGAGTACACAGTGACTCCTGTTGTTGACTTAACAATTTGACACTCTTGTTTATGGCGTCAGTAATCTCCCTAGGCTCTAGTCATGAGTTGCCAAGGCTATGGAAGCCTTTTGAGTTCGCCGACTTCGATCGTATTCCAACAGGGTCATAGTCAAAGTGGAAGTTCTCTCCTCTCTTCAGAGAAAGGTACCTCCTTCTTTAATGGCCCTGTTCTTTACACTGGGATCTCACTCACAGAGATCTTTCATTTAGGTTTTTGGTTGTTTTTTGTTTGTTTTTGTTTTTGTTTTTGTTTTGCCAGAGTGTCTTGGCTTTCCATGCCTTAGTTACTCTCATGGGCTCTTCAGCCAGATCCAAATGCCTTAAGGGCTAATTCTGAGGCCAGAGTGCTGTTTAGGACAT